ATTTCAATGTCGCCTTTTATCTTTTGTAAATTAGTGAAATGACGTGCATTTTTTATAAGTGTTTCAATAAGTTTTGGGTTTGAGTTTATTGGAATCTGATTTCCAACACCAAAATATATAGCAGTGACTTTTTTTAAAATATCAGGAAGTTTGTTTTCATTTAAGTTGTGTGTATAAAAATCCAAAAAATTTGGAAACTGGATGAATTCGACTTTGGAAGAAATTGGAACAACTAAAATCATACGATTTCCAAAAGCAAATGTTGTTGGGTTAAAATGTGATATGAACCACGTAGCATCAGAATCAAATTTAAATGTTGGAGATAAATAAAGCGAAGTAATTGAAATTGCACAATTTTTCGAAATCAAAATAAATGAATAAATTATTTCTTTGGTATTGAAGTATAACGCAACATTCATTAAATAACACATCTCTAGACGAACAGACATTAAGTAATGATATTTCAGTTTGTATTTTTGAAGTATTATTTTAATACATTCAATTAAATGAAATGATTTTTAATTAGTAAGGTTTAATAAATTATTCTATTCTTTATAAATATTATTTTTTTAATAATGATTTTTAACTTTCAAGATATCTTTAAATAAATTACGTTGTAATTGTAGGTTGTATTTTATTAAACGTGATAAAATTGATAAATACATAAGATGTCATACATATTGATATTGTCTTTATTAATGTATGTATATTTTGTTTTAAAAACTTCTGCTTTTAATTAAATTATTTTACAATAACAAATGAAAAAAATTGGAATATATATTTATTACAAATTATAAAAAAAGCTTAATAATACTTATTAGTAATACAATTATGTTATTTATATAATATAAATATATAATTGTACTTTTTAAAAGATTCAAAATAAATTTATTTTAAGTTGTTGATAATTGTTACATTTTTTTGAAAAAACCTTTTTTGATGTTTTTAAACACAAGCAATCACAAATTTTAGAATAGTTTTTATAAAATCACAATTATCAATAATATAATTTTGATGATAGTTTGGATTACAAATCTCAAAAGTAAAGTTTCATATCAATTAAATCAATAAAAACTTATATCAAAATTGAACATTTTTTTGAAAAGTTATAATTGTTTCAAATTAACATAAAATTAATTTATTTAAACTGATTTCATCTTAAACAGTACACATAATGCTTAAACTCTTACTTTCATTTATATTGTTGACAAGTTCAAATTCTTTAGAATTTTCATTTGAAGAAGATTTTGAAGATAATCCATACGGTCTCCGTTACAATCCATTACGTTCACTCCAAGGATTGGAAAACACACTTGCTTACTTTGGAAATGAAATGACTGCTTTTCTCACTTTGATAAGCCAAAACACTCTTGTTTTTGGAAGCAGTTATATCAACAGCATTGAAAAAGTCAAGGCGTGTCTTTTAAATATGAAAGAAGAAGCAAATGTTGCAGTAAGAACAAATAATAAACTTACCACACAAGAAATGTGGGCACGTTTGTTGAGTATTTTTGGACAATACGACTTCAAAAAGAACATGAAAAACGTGCTTGGAAAAGCTTCAGGAGTAAGAAGAAGAGTACAAGCCAATGTCAGAATCACAAGACAGAAAGAACAAATTTTCGAGAAAATAAGTTATCTTGAAACGGGAGTTCGAAATTTACAAGAAGCCTGTGAACTGTTCGACTCAGATCCAGATTTGAAGAGTAATCGGGCATTTAAAAACTTAAAACAAAAAATTTCCAAAATTAAGTGAAATGATTGTTGTTTTGAATTGTAATTTTTGTGATAATAAATATTAAAATAACAATATTTATTATTATAGTAATTGTGTTTTAAGTTGTCAATCAAACGTATTGATATATATAATAATTTTAATTATTCAAAAATTTCATAATTAATTAAATGTTGAATTAATTATAATTTATATAATAATATCATCTAAATATAATAAAATAAATTAAAAACATCAAAAACAACAAAACCAATTTTATAATTTTAATTCAATAAATTAAAATGTTTTATTTTTATGTTTTATCAATTGGTATGGGTTTTATTTGAGGAAACATAACAATGCTTAATACTATTATCATGCATACACAGAACGTACCGTATATTATTCCCAATATTTGGGTGATTTTCAGTGATCTTTTTTGTTTGATTTTTTCGATATATGTACCACGAACTAAATTGTTATTAAAATCGATGTAATAGTCTTCAAAAATGGACCGGGAATGATACTTGTTGTTGACCCAACTTATCTCAAAAGATGTGTTGAAAAATTGAATAAATGAATTTGTTTCGTTTTGTATTGGGTTAAAAATTAGTGTCACGTTTTTAAATACACAATTTGACAATAAGATGTTGAAGGGGTTGTTGACAATCAAATTACTATTTTGGAATAACGAATTGATTATTTTCAAGTTATTTGAATTATTAAATTGTATTGAAGAGTTGAAAATCTGAACATTGTTAATGTATGTGTTTGTTACATCCACGGTTGTTAAAAGTGTTCCATTTATGTCACTATCTTTAAAAATGCAGTTTGTTATACGATAAGACATAACATTTTCATTTAAATATTGTTTCATTTGTAGAGAGTTCGTATGGTTGACAATTTTTGTGTTATTTCTTAA